GGAGCCGGTCCGGTTCCGAAGCCCGAGGTTCTGGGGGGTGGAGGGGGAGCCGGCCGGGTTCCGAAGCCCGAGGTTCTGGGGGGTGGAGGGGGAGCCGGTCCGGTCTGGGAGGTGTCAGGTAGAGATTGTAAACTAACCGCTTTAAGAAGCATGGAAAGTATCGAAACCACAATATATCATTATATAACCATAAAGCTGTGTAATTCTAAATAGGGTGTTTCCTGTGAGGATGTAATGATTAAACTTGTGTAAACTATTTTGGACTAGTGCTCCTACATTCCTCCCTGTGAGAGAGACGACCAGAAGAACAGCGAGAAGGTCCTTCTCTGGCAGGATTACTGGACTAAGGAAGTCCGATCCCGTGTCTTCACCTGCTTCTTCAATCAGCAGCGGAGGTAAAGCCTTCTGTTTGGACTCAGAACTGGTACTGTTTGGTGACAGAGCGTGTGATTCAGCAAGGCTGTGCTCAGGCTCCGGCAGCAAAGTGTCCGTTTGCACTTCACACTGAGCCCCGCAAACAGCCGTCACCCGATTCCGGTGTTTCAGCCTCTTGCGAGCCCAACGCTATCGGGCCATCCTCCTGGCAGCCGAGTCCTGTGTGGTTCTGTGCCTGTGGTCGGCCAAGTGACCGGCTTCATTCACATCTTTGCTCTTCCCCTCCTTCCCTGGGACACGCATTAAGAACTGGCTGTGATGTTGTCCTGTTACCAGTTTTACCATTGACTGGGATATTTGAACCGCTATGCAAAGTTAACCCACAACTGGGTCCGTGTCCTTCAGCATTGCCTTTATGGTGGCATTAGGCAGGTGGCCGCACCTCACATTAAATCACCATAGAAACTGCTTAATTCAGGATACTTGGATGTACCTTTGTGTGCATATGTGACATTTTTTGTCTATTATTTCAAAATCAGTGGTATGATTTTTGATTGGTGATTTTCTTACCCCCACTCAGCCCGCTACCGTGATTTATCTTCTAGGTTAGAATATTTACCGATGTGTCTGCAGGCTGAACGCGGTGAACTTTGGTGCAGCTTTTCTGCCAGACTGCTCCCCCCAGTGAAGGAACCGGCAGTCAGATCCTCTAAACAAATATAACGAGAGAAAGATCAACGCTGGATTGCATCGGCAATCAGTCATTACTTTTAAAGACCAGTGATGTTCTGTCTTCACCTGGCAGATTATCTTGAAATCAGGCTTAAAGTAAGATTAATAGAATAAGATGCTGAGATTACCTGTTAAAATGTCGCTACCAACATTTTTCCTAGTGGTCAACTGCCTCATTACTCCGAAATGAACTCTTATAGGGAAATGAAGGGAGGTGTTTTTAATCCAGTGTGTAGCGCTAAGAGTTAAATATCACGTTTACAGCCTTCTGATTCCACACCGGCTTATAGAGACCCCTTAGGGTCTGTCTGATTGGCTGCTATCTTGCTGTCATGGAGACTAGATCCTGCTGTGAGAAAATACTCTGCTAATTCACACCGCCGGGGGGATTCGCCCGCTCTGCTCCAAGCCCATTATTTTGTCCAGTACCCTTGTGGTGCTAAATAACGCTCACTCCTTCCCCCAGCGTGTGGTCGGCTGAGGAACGTCTCCGCTGTGAGGTGATGTGAGGCAGGGGGGGAGCTCTCCTCCTTTGTGAACACCTCCCTCTCTCAGCTTAATCAACGTCCTGTCCTTATTCCACTTAAACCACCCTGATGGACACAGTCACTAGACGGGGGGGGAATTGTGACGTTTTGAGTGGGGACCCAGAAACAGCCCCTTCTAAAGGGCCAGAGGACCACGGCAGCTTCCTGTGCTGAAACTCATTACTCATCCCCCCCCCCTCAGTCGTCCCAAAGGGCCTCTTTCAGACCAGGGCACACTGCTTCCCGCCACACAGGCAGTAGCCAGCCCACTCCAGCCAGGAGTCCCAGGCTCAAACTATAGTGTCTCTACGATGTTCAATGTCACCCTGTTGGTTTGGATTTATGTTCTTCTAAATGTTTTTCTGGAATGAAGTTTGGATCCTTTTTCACGTAGCCTCTCGTTTTTTGTGCTTTGCGCTCTGCAGGCCGAATGACGTGGTTTGGAAACAGGCCCAGAACGCGAGTGTGGTGATGCACTGCGTCCTCTGGCCGCTGCTCTGCCTGCTGATGGGGGCGCTCGTCGTCCTCCTCACTATCTGCACCCACATCCTGGCTGAACGCGCAGAGGCCATCCAGAAGCTCTCCTAGGATCCCACAGGAAGATCAGCACATGCTACGAGCTCCTGATCCAGAGACCGTTATGTAGATCTCCATCTGCTGATGGGTGGCGGCTCTCAGATGTCCCCTAACAGCAATGGTGGCCGCCTTCGAGACATGAATGTGTTTCTTCATCTGCTACGTACATTTTTTATTTTTTTTTCCTAATCTGCTGTATTTTGGCTCCGCATGAGAATGGAGTCATCTTGTGGATTGTTGTATTATGTGGTAATATGTAAAAACTTCTGCTGAGGGCGAACACCATTTTGTGGGATATCCGTCAGGGCGGCATTCCCGATATGACTGGACCGATTCAACATCCCAGACTGACGTCAGGTCAGAGCTGCACACCATACAGAGATACGGACGGCACTGTGGCCTGCATACCCACTGCCAGGTTATTTTATTTTAACCACATGACCCTAAATGAATCGGATGCCTGTGCTTCTCCCATGTGTGGTCCCAGCTACAGCGGGTTGTATTTTACCATGGGCTTCCCTGGCCCGTCACGCTTGTACTCTAGAACACATGCACAGTGAAATCTAAGTACGTTTTAGAACACATGTACAGTGTAATCTATGTACGTTTTAGAACACATGTACAGTCTATAGTATTCATGCTCTAGGATATACACAAGTCCTTCACCAAGATCTGTACATTCTAGAAGACTTGGTTGTATGTTCTAGCACTTGGCTGATCTGTTACTTTTCACTCTCTACACGTTTCTTTGTTTTTTATACTTGACAGCATATTTTGAGCCGCCTCTTTTTCACCATTCTTTGCTAAACTTTTAGTTGTTTGTTTTTCCTTGTTAAATTTGATATATACGATTAAATATGAGATTAACAGGTAGCTGGCTCACTAACAAAGGCACAAATCATAGAAAGGCTTCTTGGTTCTGTACGCCAGCTCATTCACTGGCAGGCTGAGTCCAGCTCCCCAGCTGCACCTTGCCCTTATGACGGGGGTGTTATGGTGTGGGGGGGGGGGTATGGGTGTGCTGACTTTCCCAGTGGCCTGCTTCTGAAGTCTGCTGTTGTACAGGAATGTAGCAGGTGACCCATGTGAAGCTGAGGCATCTCTCACACCTAACTGGGCTGATTTGCTGGTCCCACACTATAGACGTCACGCAGCACAGACAATCGGGGCTTGGTGGTCTCGCTTCACCATGCTCCTACCTCTCGGTGCAGACTGTAAAGCTGATGCCATCAACCAGAATGTCACTGAGTCTGCACTGATCTGTCAGGTGAACCAGATTCAACAAGCCAGTGTGTAACTTTTAATCAATAGTGCCTATTAAACATGTTTATTAAAGTTAATATTAATATTAATATTGTCTTGAAAGAAGTCTTGTGTACCCGTCAATTTAGCTTTGCTGTTGTTTGTTGCTTCTCTAACATAACTGTGTCATATCAGTGTGATTCTTAGCTCTGTATGTTTGGTAATCGCTCATCGATTTATCTACATCTTCTGCTTGATGTGCAGGTGCCTCCGATTATCTGCTGCCTTGCTAAAGGTTGCCATGACAGCTGTGGTAATTGGTGGCAGCTCTGGTTGTTCTCCGAATATCTGAATATTCTCAGACTCCTGCCTTCCTGTATTTAAAAAAAAAAAACAAAAAAAAAACATTAGGCTGGAATAAAATAGAATCGGTGATACTTCATTCCAGTGCTTCCCAGCCCAGCCCAGTCCTGGGGGACCCGCAGACAGCCCTCATTTCTGCTCCCTCATGGTGCTCAGCACACAATGAAGAACACAGAAAAACAAGCATAGGCATGATGGGGGGGAGCAAAAACGCGGACTGTCTGCGGGCCTCAGGACTCTGCTGGAAAACGCTGCTTATTTCATCCCCATGGGAGAACTGTCCTGCCACCTGTCCCATCTTGCTGTCCATGCATGTGAGTAATTGAAACAGCGAGTACCCGTATTACTCTGCCCCAAAAGTCTGCGCATGTCCCACCAGCAGGTCGATACCAGCATCTCCGCTTCTACCACCAATTCCACGCCTTGACGCTGTTTTTTTTTTTTTTTTTCTTTTATACCTGGAGAGATTCTGGTCGTGTTCTCGCCACAGTCTGCCCCCCCTCCCCCCCCGTCCAGGTGGTGTGCCGCTGTCCGTCCTTGGACCCAGCGAGGCTTGATAAGAGTAGCTGAATGAGCAGCGGGTTCCCAACAGATGGGCGAAGTTCTGCTCGGACTGTAACCGGGTCGGGTGGAATGGGTGTAATTACTTAGAATCACTAAAGACAAGAAAAACAACCTGGAAGTACCTAAACAAAGTACTGTATTGTTCTTTTTTCATAGATTCCTCATTTCATTTCCACACTACAGTTTCTGACTCTCATGTAGGCCAGTAGCAACTCTCCTCCTAAGATCTCCCCCAGGACGCAGCTGCAGTGCCTCATACTGCCACAGGGGGCACCGGCACCACAAGCTGACTGCTGCAGGTACCAGATAACCCACTTGACAAGATTAATGAAGGTTCCCATGCGGCTGGTTTCCAAACACCCAAGACAAGGTCTGATTCCTCCGTCTCAAATCTTTTCCTTTTGTCATCTGCACTTACATCTGTTCATGCTACATTCTTCTCATATCTTCTCAGATATTTACAGTATGCATTGCCTTCCATTATTTTCTGGTTTTATTTGTACTTCTGCAGAGTATTTTGCCTTTTTTTCCGTCAGTCAGCTGGCCTCTTCACTTAAATGAGACGTTATTGTCCATTTTTTTTTCGGAAATTGAGGTTGTGACCCCAGCAGAGGCAGGGCGGCAGTCTACCAGGAAGCTGCCCCTGTTCATTCTACTGGCATCTGGGTGTTCCAGCTGTTACTGAGATGCCAGGGCATCATCTGTCCCCTGCGCGACTCTATTTCACGGCTCCATCCTCTGCATGTTTCTAGGCCTTGTGATGTAGTGACATTCGCTCCTAAACAGCAAGATGGTGCAGGGTGTACCATGTGACCAGGGTGTACCATGTGACCAGGGCGTACCAGGTGACCTCACACCCCCGGGGTTCTGCGTGTGGGATTCCCAAGGACTTCCAAAGAAACGCAGCCTTTGTGTGTGTCCCTGTGATGGGCTGGCACCCTACCCACTGTGTCCCCAGCCTCTTACCCTCAGCTTCCCGAGACAGACTCCTGGCTCACCATGTGTCTGTAGTGGATAACCAGTGGTGAATGGATGGATGGATTAGCATTTTTTCAAGTGCTCTGAACAGATGCATTGTCATTGGGCTAATTGGTCTTATTTATAAAGTCTTTGCTGAAGTGTGAAATCAGTATAATTTCACCACAGATGATTTCAACCACCTGAGAGACGACAGCGTGGTGCCTGCCGGCATCTGACAGGGCGAGTCCCCAAGGTGGCGTGTGACAACCACAGAGGTGTGGATGCACAGATGCGGACTGATGGCACCAGGGGACTGGATTTCACGGTCGGAACCCGGAGACAGGAAGGGAGGGAACGGAAAAAATGCCCACCTGTGTCTCAGCCATATCCTACCCTGGCATGTGCGTTCTGGGAGCGGCAATGCAGCCAAATACCCCAGATCCGTAAATGCTCTGTAGGATATGGGGTCTCTCCCCACTGGGGTACTTTAATAGGTGTGCAAATGCCCTAACCTCCCTCTGGTTATGCATAGTAGCTTATCCAGCAACCTGGACTCCACAAAGACTCAGGAAGTGCATAAAACACCATGTATTTTTAAATATGATAACAGTATTTACAGCAGTGCTACGATGAAGTAGCTTCTGACGTCTCCTCACAGAGGACTGGGAGAGTTCACACAGACTGCAACCGTAAAGTCTCACGCTCTGCTGCGTTACATGTGGAAAATCTTTTGTGCCGCTGGTTCCTCAGTGACCAGGCATCCACTGCGCATGGTCTTCAGCATCAGCTCTCCACCTATGGGGAGGAGAGACATGTTTGCTGCCTGTAAGATTTATAAAATTTGTGCATTTATAACTGAATTTGTGTCTGAAGATGTATCTGTATATATCTGTAATATTAGGGGGATTGCTTGGCTCATTGGGTTAGAATGCTGTGCCTGTAATCAGCAGGTTGTTGGTTTGAATCCCGGGATTCACAGAGTAGGGCTGTAACAGTACATATATTCATTGTGTACCACTCAGTACATCATTTCACAATTTTCACAAGTGGAACATAAATTGACAAGTAGATGTTCCACATGGAATACATTCTGCTAATTGTGGCTGTGCGTTGGTGGCTAGCTTATGGCTTAATGCTGGTTACAGTCATAATACGTGGTTTGGCAAAATTTTGATTTCCTAATAAAATACACCAACACGAGGGAGAACTGCGGCTATAGGGGTATTTATTGCTACAGATATGTGATGATGTCACCGCTGGGCCCCTGAGCGAGGCCCTTAACCCCCAGCTGGGCCCCTGAGCGAGGCCCTTAACCCCCAGCTGGGCCCCTGAGCGAGGCCCTTAACCCCCAGCTGCTCCAGGAGCAGTCTGTCCCTGCTGTCTGGAAAATGCACATTGCTTTGGATAAAGGCATCGGCTAAACAAGTAGAATAAAAACCGACTGCCAGCCTGGGTGACACAGACAGCCCCCGTGTCCCGGCAGGTTTAATGGCGATACCCTGCTTTGTGCCTGCCTGTGATGTCGGTGAGTGACGGCCCCAGAGGAAACACACTCACCGGCGGGCTGTACCACTGCGCGGCGGGTCAGGGGGCCTCCCGCGCCTGGGGCTCGGGGTTGACGTTCTCATAGACGGGGGGCTGCGTCTCCTCCTGCTCATGCTCCAGCAGCCGGGCCCTCAGCACATCCCGCACGCACTGGTGGAGGTACACGTACTGGCACTGTGGTGGGCGAAAGCGGGTTTGTCACGCACTGTCCCCTAGTCCCACACGCACTGGTGGAGGTACACGTTAAATTTCACAAGTGGAACATGGTTACATTTGCAGACGACACCAAGGTGGGCGGTGTAGCAGATACTGATCTAGCAGCAGAGAGGC